TTAAGCGCATGTTCGAACAGGTTAAAAAATGCGTCTAAATCAATCTATACAAAAAATACCTGATCGATGGGAAAATGAACAGATTTTTTTGCAGTGGCGCGGATTAATGCTATGCGGACAAAGCTTCGTAGTAAAACCCTTTGAAAGACATTGCTTACTGACCATCGATCGAACTGTCTATGTCTATATCAATTTGCGAAACGATTTCTACGTCCAGTGAATGCTAAACCATGTACATCGTTTAAGGGAGAACTTTCAATCGAAAGCTAACCTCTAACGGTGATAACGTAAGCGAAGTGACAAGACCAGATGGCCAAGTTTTGGTTGAGCCAATCACACACTGAGAGTTTGCACACTGAATGGATTGCTACAGAAACTTTTAGCACTTGTACGTGAAACTGGCGGCTCAGATCGATCGTTAATTATAGACACATCTTTGTGGCCTTTCGCTGCTAAAGCACGTAAAACTTACCGACAAAACTCTCTAATGCAAAACTGATCATACAGATAATTTCTCTCCACAGTGTTCAAGTCGACTGAATTCTGAGTCACGGCATAGTTCTTAAAAGCATCAAAATAATTCCATGCCGACGTACCCGAAGTTACATAATAGGCAAATGACGTCACTGGGTGGGAGGGGGAGGTAATATATAGAATAAATAAATGATTCCATTTACCTCACGACTACGACTCAATAGCCGTAAAGTCAATTTCGCCCAAAACGAGGTCGGCAAACATAGCTTCAGAAAAGTTAAAAAGAAGCTTATTGTTGACGGAAATTTATGCAGCTATTATTCCCAGCAATACGTTAAGGGTTACATGATATGAATGATGGTGAAGTGCTATCACAGCAGCCACCGTGGTCGGCCCCAACGAATCATGAAAATTTTGTAAACAGCTGAAAATATGGATATTCAGATACGTGAGCAATTCATAATTTTGTATGAACAGCTTAGCATGTTTATAAGATAATAGCTCCTGAAACATGAACGCCAGGTGGATTTGGCGGACAAAATCATGCCAGATGCATCTGACACTGCGGCTGGTCAAATACCATTGAGCCGTGGTCTGCTTAGATACCCAACCCCACTATCCTCCTGCCACGAAAACAACCAGGAACAAGCGAGCGGTGCAATGCTCCGCGAAAAATGGTGTTGGACAATTTACGCGTTAAATGATACTTGGAACTTGGAGTAATTGCTGCGAAGGATTTGTGCATACTCGAATAAATGATTCTGGGTGCTGCTAGTTTTCAAACTGCCACATATTTACAGATATTTACCACATGATAGCTTTCATAGTTTTCATCAGCATGAGAGCTGGAC